GGCGTGTTAAGGGTAGGGCCCGAGGTCAAGGGGTTGGGGGAGTGTGAGGTGCACCCCAGGGTTCCGTGACAGCAGAGGCCGCGGGCGTGACGGCAGCAGCGCGCGCCGCCACACGGTGGTGGGTACGAGACCGCCCACACTTTGCAACCATCGGGGCAAGGAAGCCAAAAAACCCCAAAGGACGCAAAGCCCTGAAATCACGCGCGCAACGCGCCTTTAATCCATCGTCACATTTAGCGCCCCCGACACACCCACAACCACACCCCACCCTCCTCTCGCCCCCGGCCCCCCTCACCTGCACTGGCGTGAACCTGACTGTGTTGCGCCGCGGCTGGTCCTGCGGGTAGGGCCCCGGGTTCTCAGGCACGTACGGCTCCACCAACAACACAGGCCGTGCATCACCCCCGCCGCCGCCGTTCTGCTGCTGCTGCTGCTGCTGCTGCTGCTCCTGCTGCTGCTCGCCCGCCGCGGCGGCCGCAGGCGCGAGCGCGGCGTCTCGCGCGTCCTTGCTGCTGGCGCCGGTCTTGGTGCTGCCGGGCACCGCCGCGGCCGCCTGCGGGAATGTCAGCCGGTACGGCGGCGCGGGCGGGCCTGGCTCGGCGCCCTTGCCCTTGGCGGTTGCGGCGCCGTCCTTGTCAGCGTCCTCGTCAGCGTCCTTGATCTTCACCCTGTATTGGGGGAAGCTGTCCTTGAGGTGGCCAAAATCCAGGAAGGTGTCCTGGGGGGCAGGGGGGCGGGGCAAGGAGAGCGCGGTTTTTGGAGGTGCGCAGGCAGGCGGTGGGGTTGGTTGATGGGTGGGCACAGTAATCGGCTGGGTTCATGCGCAAGGTGTGTGTGTGTGTGTGTGTGTGTGTGTGTGTGTGTGTGTGTGTGTGTGTGTGTGTGTGTGTGTGTGTGTGTGTGTGTCATATACGCCGGCGCAAGCGCAACAGGAGGTAATCACAGGTATCGGGACCAGCCCCCGCCCGCCCGCAGGGCGCACATGTTCGGGGGACACTCGCGCATTCTGCAATCCACCATCCAATTGCCACTCAGTCAACCAGCCGCCCACGGACCCACCCAATCTCACCCAGACACGAGCACGAGCACTCATGCGCACCCACACACACACGCAGGCGCACGCACGCACACACACACACACACACACTCACACACACAAGCACACACACACACACACGCACACACTCAAACACCCCCCCTCCACCCCACCTTGAAGTCCACCGTGGTCAGTGTGTCGGGCATGTTGGTGTAGTGGGCGGCCGCGGGGTCCCCGTAGCCCAGGAATATGTCGTGCAGCCAGGGGGGTATGGCTGCGTCCTCGTTCAGCAGGTCACGGATTGACTCTAGAACGGCCTTGAAGTTGTTCTCCTGGGGGGGACAAGGTGTGTGTGTGTTTGTGTGTGTGTTTGTGTGTGTGTGTGTATGTGTGTATGTGTGTATGTGTGTGTGTGTGTGTGTGTGTGTGAATGGAGAGGGACATTCGCACGCACGTTCAGTGTCAGGGGAGTAGGACACAGGGGCTGGATGTGTGCTCACATGTGTGCTCTGAGGTATTGTGCTGGGGCAGAGCGCCGTGCCCCATGCGCGGCCCCCCTGAACATCCCATCCCGGGCCCCCGCCGCCCCTTTGCTGCGCCGCTCGCCCCCCACGCAGGCGCCCGACCCATCGCTCCCCCCTCAAGGCCCCCACCTTGGCGTCCCGCCGCAGCACGCAGTTGAGGCGCGCGTACACGTCAGCGCCGGCGTCCGCGCCGCCCCCCGCTGCCGCGGCGGCGTTGACGTCTATCTGGTACTGCGCCGGGTCCAGGGCCAGGGTGAGGGTGCGCACAAAACCCTGGGGGGTTGGGGGGGGGGCAGGGGAGCATCGGCAGGGCGGTTCAGGACCAGGGTGGGGTGTGGAGTGGGGGGCAAGGGTGGCGGAGAGGGAAAACTGTACCAGGGTTGTGGTATGGGGTCCGAGTGGCCGGCAAGGCGGGCCAGACGCGGGCACAGCGCAGACACGTGGGCGCGCGGGAGGGAAGGGGGCAGGGGCTGCGGCTCACCTGGGGCGGCTTGCGCTCGTCGAACCTGACGCGCCCCGTGAAGTCGTTCATGAGGTTGCCAGTCTCATCACGGATCTGCGGGTGGGGGGGGGGCCAAACCGTGTTGGGTGAGTGCGTCCGTGTGCGTGTGTGTGTAGGTGTAGGTGTGGCGGGGGGATTGTGCGTTGGGCATGCTCCCGCTAGGGGTGGTCCACTG